CTCCTTCTCCTTCTCCTTCTCCTTCTCCTTCTCCTTCTCCTTCTCCTCCTTCTTCTGACTCTAACAATAGCAACATCTTATGAACTGAGACTGGGACCAGAAATGGACCATCTCTTATTGCAATCAGGAAGCAACAATGGACAAGCTCTCTCTTGAATTTAAGGTGATGAAATAGACATAGAAAATCAACAAAGCAGACTCATGTCATGGAAACCTTAAAAATGGGACAAAATGGTTCCTCAGTTAAGTTAAAGATCTATGTAGACTAAAGCTGAAACTACTGGCTATTTGTTTACCATCGTTGCTCTACTGAGAGTACTGAATGTTAAGTATGTTTTCTTACGGAGAAAAATATGCGACCAGAGAGGGCAGCAAAGTAATTTACATCAATAGGAAAAAGAGTCAACTTTTTAGTCTCTAGTTCTTAGCACACACTGATCAATGGTCTGCCAGTGACAATGTTGAATGTCCCACTGTGGTTGGCTCCAGGTTAAGAAGACCCTGGGCATTAATCATCACACCATAAAGAGGCTTGTCTCGGCCAGTAAGTGCTTTATGCTGCTTTAAAAAAAAGGAAGAAATTTGGAAGACTCATGCTTAGCAATATGGCCAGCTGCCAAAACAACAAGCCAAGGAAACTCAGTCCAGTGCAATCATTTCAAACCTTCTTGTCCTTTTATAGCTGAGGGGGGAAAGTCACTTTTACTTACTGGCTGGAGAAAAGTACCCTTTTGTCTAATACAAGGGCTTTGTATAGCTTGGATCTCCAGCTGGATCACATTACCAGAGATAGAACCATTAGATGCTATTAAGTTCTTCAGATAAGATGTCAAAAGTTAGTGGCACACAGACACAGAGTTCTTTTAGATGGATAAAACCCCTGGTCATCTGCAGATGATGCATAGGAAAATTGTGAGCTGGCCTGGACATCTTTGTCAACAGGACCAAGAGTTGCCAAGAGTCATAAGAGGCTGATGATCAAGTGAAGCTTGCTGTGCTATCTAGTTCACTGAAGAAGTGAGAGAGACAAGACATGATGCTGCAAATTATTCAGATGTTTCTGTTGGATAATCACAATGTTTGGGGGGTGGGGGGAGGTGGAGTCCTTTAACATATCTTTAAGGCAAGTGAACTCCGATGCCCTATCCCTGTCAGGTAAGTTGCATAAGGAATATGAATACACAAAGAAGCAGTTGTTTTCTAAAAGCCTACTATGAGCAGGGGGAAATGTATGTACACACACACACACACAAGAGAGATAGAGATAGAGATAGAGAGAGAGATAGATAGATAGATAGATAGATAGAGAGAGAGAGAGAGAGAGAGAGAGAGAATAAACTGCATACTGTAAAATGTTTTCAGGATTCACTGAGAGGACTCCCAATAGACAGCTATGAGAAAGGCACAAGCAAGCATTTTTTCATTTGAGGCCAGTGAACCATAAGCCACATCCCAAACCAGCAACTGTCAAGAGGGAAATAATGACAGGCCAGAAAACATCTGAACAAATGTTCGATCTCACTGTGGTCAAAAAAAAAAAAAAGCCAAGAGAATGGGGCAACATTTGCAGGCTGTCACACTAGCCAATGTTGGCTTTAAAAGAAACTGTCCTACAACAAAAAAGCATTAATGTAGATGAAGGCAGTCTGGTCCAGTAGAACAATGATAATGGTCAAAAGCCTTAACATGCAGTAGCCTTTGGACTCTGATGTTCTCTTTCTAATCCTTTATTCTTACAGACATTCACTCACACAAACAGCTTAGAGGGAAAAATTATAAAAATAAATATCAATTGCTGAACACCAGAGAATTGTGAAAATTAATTTGTTTCTGAAGAAAAACCTCTCACAGAAACAAAATATTAAACAAGAGTCTTCAGGAACAGAGTGATGCTCATGCAAATTTAACAACTGGAAAAAGTAGTTTAAAAAGAATAACATGGAGCACATTTTTGCGGGAAACACATGGATGCATATGGGGCACAGGTGGACAACAGAACTTCTAACAACAGTTATGTAACTCTGAAAATGGCAGGACTGTGGTTGCTTTTCTTCTCTGCCCTTTGCTTTATTTCTACGCTAAACATATAAGTTATTTTCAAAACTTTCATTTTTAAATTTGTCAATGGTCCATAAAAATTTAGATTTGAAACATATGTGTTCCAGTATGTTGTTCCTTCACCCAGCACACGGCCTTTTGAGATAGGTTTCTTTCCCTCTGTAATATGCCTGACTGTGTGCTTCCTGTGTTTTATAGTTGGAGGGCTTACCTTGGGGAAACTGAGTGACCCAATAAATAAGTTATTGCAAATCAATACAGCATCATACATGTATATTGCTACTAAATCAAATCTGCACTACACCATGGGAATCGTGAATCTCAGTACTATTACTAAGTGCAGAACAATTTTTGAGCTTGGTTCCTCTAGCTTCAGGCTGGTCCTATAACCAAAGCCTACCATTCAGCTGGGATGAAGCAAGGAGAATTTAGCCCTAATTTCAAGTCTAGAAGTACCACTGAGCTTCCCTTCTAGCCAAGCCATCCTGACGCAAGCCCATCCACCTTCATCTGCCCAGCCTGCACCACAGCCATCAAGCCAGAGCCCACAATCCTCAGGAGACACAGTTCTCCCCTGCCGGACTCCGGCCAAAGGCAGCACAAAGGGGTATCTATTTTCTTGTCAGAAATATCACTGATCTCTCTCTACTCCAATCTGATCTGGAAATTTTTCAAGTTTTAGAACCACATTCCTTGGGCCTGTGTGAGCTCTTGGTGGGTGAAAGCATTACCACAGAAGCCCAATGACCTGAACATGAGCCCTGGAACCCACAGTAGAAGGGGAGAACCAATTCCTAAAAGTTGATCTTTGGCCTCCACACACATGTGCCCTCCCCCATTATACACACAATTGTCACCAAAATTATCATCGCCACAAAAAAAGAATTCTCTAAGGTCAGCAATATACCAGGATACATTCTGTATTCACCAGAGAGGACAATAGATAGAAAAGAAATAAAA